ATATGCAAAATGCTTGCACAAAGTATAATTTGTTGCTTTGAATGGCAGGTTTGTGAGAGTAAATTGAATATTATTAAGCGAATTTATGAGTACCCTTTCAGATAAATGGAAAATATATAATTTATTTTTAATGAATAGATAAAGGATGCTGAATATGGGGCTGCCAGGCTGGAGAAAAAGCAAGAAGACCACAGAGGAGGATTATGGAGGCAGTGAAGAAGGGCTGATGTTATAGAGGAAGATGCTAGGGACAGTGTGAGATGGAAACAGATGATCGGCTGTGACGACCGGGAGCAGTCAGAAGAAGAAGAAGATAAGCAGAGTGCATGACAATAGAAGACAAAGAGGCACAGAGAAAAAGGAAATGACAAAAGAAATTAGTGCCAGTGCACACAGTGACTGCGATAAAGACCTGGCGTGTGTGTTTGGGGGGATTTTCACCAGGAATCTTCTTATGCTCCATTTTCTTACACTGATCAAATTAGGAACTGACATTTCCTGCATATATGATGACCCCAGCACATTTCATGATCAGCTCAGTTTATTGCCCGGCATGCACAGATAGGGTGTATGGGATCTCTTTCAACACTATGCGGGATAAACACCGCTCCTAAAATATCCCATCAACAGCTGAAAAAGTCAACGCTGTGTTTGATGAGTCTGCTAATGAGGGAAAATTAAATATTCTAGAGATACAAGCATTGTCAGGCTATCATTAAGCGTCAGAGAAAGGTCAGCAGCAAGGGTGTTGTGCAACCTTCAACTATCACATTATGTCCCAGGGGGAATTTAGATGAGTATTGATCAAATGGCCTTTCATTAATGGCAGTTAAGTGCATTTTGTTAAGTCTATTAGCTTACTGTTAAAGCTCAATAACCTCCTGGTTGTGCAGTGCCCTTCCACATGTTAGAGGTCATAAGAGAGAGAGAAAGATGGAAAGGTGGACAAAAGATGCTTTGGGACTTTGGGTGATTCTTTTATCTATGTTAAGAGCTCAGATGATCGCATTCTTGGAAACTGAAGAACAAAAAAGAAAAAAGCACATACACACACACACATACACACACATCGTCAGATATTTTGCAATCAATGCATAATGAAGTATAAGGATAAAAGCAGCAGAACTAAGAGCTGAGAGTGTTTCCGATGTCTTAGCTTTTCTGCTAATGAACCTGTCCTTCATGTCCTGAGTCTCTTCATTATCATTTCCTAGAAATGAGAAGTTTCTTCTTACTTTGCACTGACTGGCTTTGCAATATATTCATAATCTAAATCTGTCCTCTCAGTTCAGTGTGAGTACAAGAAAACAAATTTTAGAATACAATGTGTTAAATTTGCTTAGATAAGAGGGTCCAGCAGTAGATGAGAGAAATAGGGAAGGATTTGTCTGTGTTTCAGTTTGGCTTAGCTGTAGGCTTGAGAGTGTGTGTAATTGTGTAGAAGGAAAGGAATTTATGGACACTGGGGGTCTGCCTGTCATAAAAGGAGACAGGAAGCTACAGTTGGGGATTGCTGATGGTGATGCTTGTATCTTTAATAAAAACTCATAATTGTTATAACTTAGAAGCAGGTTTGCAGGAGACTCTCCAGATGCTTATCTGTATATGTAAGACAACAAGGGGCCAATGGCCCAGTGGATGCAGAGTGGGGGTCTCAGTGTTTGTAATATGTTAATAATAATAATAATAATGGATTGGATTTATATAGTGCTTTTCAAGGCACCCAAAGCGCTTTACAATTCCATTATTTATTCACTCTCACATTCACACACTGGTGGAGGCAAGCTACAGTTGTAGCCACAGCTGCCCTGGGGTAGACTGACAGCTACACAACACCAGTAGGTGGTAGGTGAAGTGTTTTGCCCAAGGACACAACGACCAGGACAGAGACCCCCGGTGCCGTCTCTGGATGCCTCGAGGAATAAAAAAGAACCGGGGTGAAACTGATTTCGTAACATCAGCCTGTCCGTATTCAGTGCATGCTGGCATGTTTTTCAAGGGAATCATATATCCAGGGAATCTTTATTCTGTTGCCAAATGGAGCTGCTGAGG